CATTCGCTATCCTCCAGGATTCTGGTACTACAACTGAGTTTAAGGACTTGTTAAACAACCTTGCTAAGGGCATACTAAGCTCTTCCTTACACTCCTTTAATACTCTGGCAAATATCTCATCGGGACCTGGTGACTTATTAGGCTTTAGTTTGTGTACTGTATTTGCTTAATAACATCGTTACTAGTCACTACTATCTCGTGTCATCTATTTTCTTCACTATATCTGTATATAGTCGGTGTCTCGGGTATCATGTTTAAACTTTAGGTGGTGAAAACTGTTGACAAATATTTATTCAGATTATTGCTCATTTCTCCGTCGTTATCAGTTAGCTCGCCGGTATCTGACTGTATTGGTCCAATCTTTTCTCTTATTTTAGTTTGATACATTTGAAAGAGTCCCTTGGGGTTTGACTTCGCCTCCCTTGCTACCTTCAGTTCATTATTCCTCTTTGCTTTTCTTATCTCGGTCTTAACCTTACTGGCCAATACCTTATAATAATCTCGGAGGTAAACTTCACCACGATTTATTCTCCTTCCTATAGCCTTCCTTTATCCAATAATATTTTTTAAATAATTATTTATCCATTTAGGGTCATTGTTGTTTAATCTGAGTTTTCTGTGTGGTATGTTCTGCCTGTATGCATTAAGTAACTCATTATTTAGATTGTTGTGGAACTCGTCAACCTCAGATCTCGTGATCAGGTCATCCTCAACCGTCATATATTGTGAGGTTATCGTTGTCAGGTCTCCAGGTAAAGTGAGGTCGCCATCTGTGGGTACATTGTGTGAGGTCACCTCACGTGAGGTCATATAATTCCCCCACAAGCGTGATACCCCTTCTCTCAGCTGCCTCTTCAAATTATCAAAGTTTGCCCTTCTGAAATTTGGGACTTTAATGGAATTTTCCTTGCGACTGCCCTTAGATACTGATTGGAATCTTATTTCTCTGTGATCGCTGTTAGCAAGTTCGTTCCCTACCTCGACATTATTAATGAGGTTTTCTCTGTTTGACTGAACTAAATCGAGTACAGTATATTATTATCCCGGGTGGGTTCGGTTATATGTTGACTTAGGAAACAGTCCTGGATTGTTTCAAGAAAATCTTCTGATTCTGAGTTACCCTCAGTCCTCAGTTATATAATGTAAATATATCAGCATATAGTAGGTAGTAGGCAGGTGCAGTACAGGGAGGTACTACCACCTGGGAAAATATTAGAAGCAATATTTGTTGTCTAATGGTAGACCCTGCTGCCATATGGTATCACAAAAATTGTGACCAAGTCCCAGGTTGCTCATCTGACTTTCTGCCTCATTTTCACACAATTGCAGGGTCTCAATTGTTTCTCTTACCATTGACAACACAACATACATATATTGTTTCTCACTCTTGATCTTTTTTAAATTTTTGTATTTCTGTATGGTTCTTTATTATTATTATTATTATTATTATTATTATTATTATTATTATTATTACATTTTCGCCCCTCAGGCCCCAATGTGGGTCAGTTACCTGTGCCCGGGTGGGCTAATCCCCGTAAAAAAAATAAAATACGAACAAATGTTTTTAAGTAGTGGAAATATAAATTACTTATGACTTTGTATATTTTGTGAGTGTACGTGTTGCTGTGATATTTATACGCTTCATAATATCTCGTATATATTTTTGATAAGTTGACCTGGAAATATAAAAATAGTATCATATGATATTTGATAAATATGTCCTGCCACTACGCAGGAATGAACATCATAATATAACGGTGAAAAATATTGGCTACCAATATGCGTCCTCAATATAGGTATTGTCAGAGATGATATATACAGCGGTTGTTATAGCGTCAAAACTCATCCTTATATAATACAATATACTGTATATATATATATGTGTGTGTGTGTGTGTGTGCGCGCTCTGGAGAGAGAGAGAGAGAGATAGAGCGAGCATATACTTTGAGGATAACACTGTAACCAACATCACAATATAATTTACATAGAATATAATGTAAACTACTCTCATTGAGGCCCATTAGCTAAAAGTCGGGATTTAACAAAAGATAGAATATAAAGGGATGGGATAGAAAATAGTCACTCGTGTTTGCACTTTATTTTATGAAAATATATAATTGGACATATACAATAATATGTAAGTTGCAAATAATATTTTGCAATATATATTTGAAAAAAAATTAGTGAATCCTATGTTTTTTTGTGTTTTTTTTAGACACATTGTTTACGTCATGAGAATGTTGAGAAGACGAACATTATGTCATAGTAAATGTTTTATCACAATCTCAAAATATCTAAAATGTCACACACACACACATACAGTACATACACACACACACACACACACACTGCACATAAACATGCATCTTACTACTACATGTATTGCCTGTAAGTAACCATCACTGAAGATTTATACTGTATGTATATTTATATACATATAGAAGAGAATTATATACACAAGTGAAGCATAAAATGATCCATACAGTCAGGATAATAATGCCGTATTCTTCGCCTCTTTGTTTTTATGTATAAATAGTAATCATACAATCTTGCAGTTATACCATATTGTCATAATATAATTTAACCGTTGTATAATCTGGTATTTTTTGTCGTTTTGATAATTATCTTACTTTACAATTCCAAAAACCGATCATTTTGTAATCTGGTGATGATGTAATGTGAGAACAGCAGAAAGAAAGGAGAAGATCCGGTGTTTTATTATATTTTAAGAATAAGAATTGGGATTATGGTACATAAATTCACTGATGATCTTAGGGATTTGGGGAAGCCAGGGTCCATATAGCCCCACAAAGTTGGACTCCCAATCTCTTACTTTCAAACCCTAATTCTGTATGGATGAGAAACGCCTAGAGAGAGAGAGAGAGAGAGAGAGAGAGAGAGAGAGAGAGATTAAAATTAAGCTTTCATTATTTATTTTTTCACAGTTTTTATCAATTCATATTAGTGATCCTTACAAAACATTTATATATCTATCTATATATCACCATAATATAGTAAATCTTACAGGTTCTATCTACAGGTGTCGGCTATATGACATAAAGATTTATACAGTGAGTTGCAGTTCAAAGCTCTGACCATTGATTTGTCTATTAGAAGGTGTCAGGTGCTGTTGCCTAGAGCACAGGTACACAGTCAGGCTCACCTGTACCCAGACTGACTTTTCCGAGTACATGAATAATTAAGTACCTAATAAAACCTAAACTTGTCACAATATAAGAAATAAATTAATATAAGTGAAATTAATTTAAATAATGTTATAGTGATATAATTGAGGAGTTAGTTATTTTTGGATAATAAGGAATAATAAGTACTATGTATAATGAGTGTTAGCAAAGTAATAATGAGAAAATAGTATGATTATATAAAGACAAGTAGGAACAATTGGTTACTAGGGTCATAATCAATAGACTAAAATAATACAATATATTCGTAAAGAAACCTGTGAATTCCCAAAAAATTAAGTAATCTGAATATTAAAGTGAAACCCCCGAAACTTCATTATCAATAACAAACAGATGATTCATTATTAGTTACTATTAAAAGACCTTGACAATTACTAGTTACTGAACACACACACGCACCAAAAATATGCTTCCTGATATTAAATGTAATTATTTTCTAATTTTGTGGTTCAAACGGAATCTATTAGAGAATTAGTTTTTGTTATTCAAATAAGCTTTTGTTTGCCACTGAGAAGATATTTAAATATTAAAAACAGATTATATTTTAAGACTGTGTTCCACTTTGTAAATTACGTTATTTCTTGTTGATGTGATATTAATATTTTTTTATTATAAAGTTGCCGTGTTATTAAGGAGTTATGATACTCCACGTTGTCAAGATTTTTTAATAATTGCACTGAAATGTGAGAAAAGAGAAAATGACTTTGGCCCAGTGATCCTAACCACATTTTAATGTTTTTTTTCCCTGGAGGTGACCTTATACTCCACTGCAATGCTCATTGGTTCCTATATTATATGACGTCACCCTACACTGTAAAGTTTATGGTTCTTTTAGATGACGTCACATAAAATTGTTACGCTCATTGGTTCGTGAAGATGACGTCATAGTAAACTGTGATGCGCAGAGGTTCGTGGAGATGATGTCACACTACACTGTGATGATCAAACAACTGTAGAGACTATATCACAGTGACATCAGGCGACACTGAATTACTCGTTAGTGGAATAAACGTTACACGACACTACAACAACACTTACCGTTGATTTCATTCAGAATAAGCCTACTAATCGTGCAGGCAAAGTTTTGTTGTTCTGAAATGATGTCACACAATTCAACATCCAACCATAACCAAGCACGTATTACATCAAACGTGACGTCAGAGGTTTATATCAATGTCTCCACCAATCACATATCGTTTCCGTTTCAAAAGAGCCATGCAAATCATCGACTTTCTTTGTAATTATTTATAGATACTAGTTTCAGATGCCTGTATAGAACACCTCGTACATGCAATAATATTTTTTCTTGTCACAACACACAAGAATAAAAGGGGGGAAAGAAATATAAATAATTACAGAATTCTCAAAGGGTTTTGCTCTTGATTTGAGAAAGCGCCAGTCTGTCAATTCACATCGATATTCTTATGTCCGTGTCCACATGTGCGTTACTGCGGAGTCTCATTTCCATATCTGCATCCACATGTACGTATTCACATATCCCCTGACTGTAGGGTTTGTTCAAATGTACGTATCCACATAAGCTTATCCACACACATATACATACCCATATCTCCCAACGTATGTCCAAAAATGGGTTTCACATGTTATTAGAGAGTGAGAGAGAGTGAGAAAGACGTACAAGATTGGGTGGATGCTGTGAAGGACTGAGGTGAGTTGGTGTGTGAAAAGTTGATTAAGGAGGTGTTAGGTTAGGTTAAGTTATCGTAGGTTAGGTTAAGTTAGGTTAAGTTATCGTAGGTTAGGTTAAGTTAGGTTAAGTTATCGTAGGTTAGGTTAAGTTATCGTAGGTTAGGTTAAGTTAGGTTAAGTTATCGTAGGTTAGGTTAAGTTAGGTTAAGTTATCGTAGGTTAGGTTAAGTTAGGTTTGGTTTAATTTGGGTTGCGTTAGGTTAAATATTTTAGATTGACAATAAATATAAGTTAGGGAATTAGTTTAAAGTACGATGAATTTGAAGAGGATCGGTCCGGTTAAGTCTGATTTAGGTTAATGTTAGGTTAGGTTAAGTTTGATTTGGGTTAATGTTTGGTTAGGTTAGGTTAAGTTTGGGTATCTTAGGTGTAGGTTACGTTAGGTTAAGTGTAAACTAGGTTAGTGTGCCCTTAAGATAGGGTTTGATTAGGTTAGGTTAATTTCGGTCCACTATGCTTCAGTTAAGGGTAGGATTAGGGAATGTTCAAGCTCGGTTAAATCTAGACTAGGTTAGGTTAGGTTACGCTCAGATTAGGTGAAATTTAGCTAAGGTTTGGTTAGGCTTTGGCTAGTTGAAAACGGGTCAGGTTAGCTTGGGTTAGATTAAATTTACTTTGTGTTGGCTTGATTCAGTTGAGGTTAGGTTAAGTCAGGTGTGCAAGAAGGAGGAGAAAGAGACAGGTGAGAAGGATGCAAGTGTAGCAGGTGTGGCAGGGGGGACCCACCACTACCCCGACGCAGCTGTTGTTCTCATGCACGATGGCTGCTGGCGTGTCACCTGCAGGGGAGGAGGAGTAAGACATTATTAAATTGTGACGACAGGTAAACAATTATAAGAAATTAGATCAATACATTACATAACTATACATAACATGAAGCAAACAGATCAATAAGATACATATGGATAGATATAACAGACACTTGTTATGATTATTCGTTTTATACATAGATATATCATGTATATCTTATATCTATATGTAGTCAGCTTATTATTAACCTCTTTACCTTGTCATATAAGAACTCTGGATTTAAAATGATTTCAAACACAATTTCAGAAACATATAATGAGAGAGGTGAGAAAGATATATGTGATAAATAGAGATGAAGAAGTGAGAAAGAATGACATGAGACAGAGAAATAATAAGTAAACATAAACCTGAGAATAAAGATAAAAAATACAATAACAGGGAACTAATATATAAAGGTAAAATTATATAGTAAACAAATATATAAAGTATCAATTTATCCCCGAGTAGAGAGGAAGTAGGAATCTAACCAACGTATATGAAATTAAGTTATATATTTCTCTCTGAATATCCAAACAGGAGAGAATATACTTTTTTATATAGGTTTAGGAGAGACTATACTTTTTTATATAGGTTTAGGAGAGACTATACCTTTTTATATAGGTTTAGGAGAGACTATGCTTTTTTATATAGGTTTAGGAGAGACTATACCTTTTTATATAGGTTTAGGAGAGACTATGCTTTTTTATATAGGTTTAGGAGAGACTATGCTTTTTTATATAGGTTTAGGAGAGACTATACTTTTTTATATAGGTTTAGGAGAGACTATACCTTTTTATATAGGTTTAGGAGAGACTATACCTTTTTATATAGGTTTAGGAGAGACTATACCTGTTTATATAGGTTTAGGAGAGACTATGCTTTTTTACTTACTTTTTATATAGGTTTAGGAGAGACTATACTTTTATATAGGTTTAGAGAGACTACCTTTTATATAGGCTTAGGAGAGACTATGCTTTTATAGGCTTAGGAGAGACTATGCTTTTTATATAGGTTTAGAGAGACTATACTTTTTATATAGGTTTAGGAGAGACTATACTTTTTTATATAGGTTTAGGAGAGACTATACCTTTTATAGGTTTAGAGAGACTATAGGTTTAGGAGAGACTATGCTTTTTTATATAGGTTTAGGAGAGACTATACCTTTTATATAGGTTAGGCTTTCTTTTATATAGGTTTAGAGAGACTATGCTTTACTTTTTATATAGGCTAGGAGAGACTATGAGAGAGACTATGTTTTTTATATAGGTTTAGAGAGACTATACCTTTTTAGGTTAGGGAGACTATACGCTTTTATATAGGTTTAGAGACCATACCTTTTTATATAGGTTTAGGAGAGACTATACCTTTTTATATAGGTTTAGGAGAGACTATGCTTTTTTATATAGGTTTAGGAGAGACCATACCTTTTTATATAGGTTTAGGAGAGACTATGCTTTTTTATATAGGTTTAGGAGAGACTATGCTTTTTTATATAGGTTTAGGAGAGACTATACTTTTTTATATAGGTTTAGGAGAGACTATACCTTTTTATATAGGTTTAGGAGAGACTATACCTTTTTATATAGGTTTAGGAGAGACTATACCTGTTTATATAGGTTTAGGAGAGACTATGCTTTTTTGTATAGGTTTAGATACGAGTATACCTTTTTATATAGGTTTAGGAGAGACCATATAGGTTTAGGAGAGACTATTGATATAGGTTTAGGAGAGACTATACTTTTTTGTATAGGTTTAGATACGAGTTTTTACCAAGTTAGCTTTGATGTCTATGTACCGTCAGGAGGAAAGAATGACCTAGTTTTATATGACAGTAGATGTGTATAGAGTTAAGTTTGTTTATGACTCTCCCCTCATCTCCAGAAAGAGGGAAGGCTGGACGAATTTACATTGTTAAGCTGCCGAGAGAGCTTTGAGGGGAGAGTAGGTGAGGGGGAAAGTGGATGAGGGGAGAGTGAATGAGGGGTGAATGGATGAGGGGGAGATTTGGATGAGGGGTGAATGGATGAGGAGAGAGTGGATGAGGGGTGAGTGGATGAGGGGAGAGTGGGTGACGGGGAGAATGGATGAGGGCAGAGTAGGTGAGGGGTTAGTGGATGAAAGGGGAGAATGGATGAGTGGAAAGTGGGTGGGGTAAGAATGAGTGACAGGTTTGTGGATGAGTGAGAAATTTATGGATGAGGGAGAGTAGGTAGGGGGGGGTTAGTGGATAAAGGAAAGTGAACGATAAAGATAAAGTGAGAGGTTTGTGGACGAGGGGTTAGTGAGTGAAGAGAAAATGGATAAGGGAGAGTGGATAAAGGGAGTGGATATGAATTAGTGGATGTGGCATCAGAGAGTAAATGAGTGCAGAGGGAGTGAGGGAAAGTAGGTGAAGAAGGACTAACTGAGGGGAGACTGGCTTAAGGGAAATTGAATGAAGAATGAGTTTGTGGAGAGAGAGAGAGAGAGAGAGAGAGAGAGAGAGAGAGAGAGAGAGAGACAGAGTGGGGGTGTTAACTGGGGTAAATCTCTCCGGGGGGTGTTGAGTTAAAGTGAGTGTTAATATTAGCTTATCTCACGGGAGGGAGACGCACCACCTGACGTCACTATGTACTTAGCAAACAGTGAAGAACTAGAGTCATTATTTTTCTTGTTCCCAGAGGATGTGTGTAGAAAGGATAAACATTAGCATAATTTCTTTTTTTTTTCCTTCGTCTTTTCGGGAGATAAATGAAAGGAAAAGAAAAAAAGAAAGTATGAGAAGAGGGGAAAAGGGAAAGGGGAAGATGAAATATTAGGGGAAGGAAAGAAAGAATAGGAGGGGAAAAGAGATGAGCTGCAGTAGATGAGGGAGGGAGAGAGAGAAGGGAATGGAATGAGTAGTAGAAAGGAGGGATAAACGAGGGAATAAGGGAGAGTAGAACATAGAGTGATGAAATGGGAAGGGGGAAGAAAATTAATAAATAATTTTCTAGTTCCTGTGGATGTCGAGTATACCAGCTATGTTGCCCCCCTCCCCCCTTCCCCCTCCCCTCCTTCCCCCTTCCCCCAAATCACGAGGGTCAGTCAGTCTGGTCACAACAGCCAATAACAGACGAACAGACTTAATCTCAACAGACACTTACAGCCTGCACAACATTATTACTTTCACTTGACTAAATGGATGAATGGGTGACAACTTCAAGCACCCATTAACTAATACTACTTGATAACAGGAACAGCTGATATTATTGATGATGTTAATATTAGCAGCTGTACATGTAAACAAATCATTAACCCGTAAACAGCCTATAACGGTGACACACTTCAGGTTGATGCTGATAATGTAAACAATGAACCACTTGGGATATTTTCTACAGTAAGAGAGGGATAATGAACAGTAGTGTAGACAATACGTTATAAGCAGTAAACGGAGAAACTTTACTATGACGTTGTAAATATTATATTGTAAACAGTAAATTATATGAGCATATAATAAACAAAACATCAAAGAAATAAGCTACAAACAGTACAATATAAACATCACACCCTGTTACTGCAATGTAAACACTATAAAAAAACATTATATCCAATACAATGTAAACTACACTCCATAAACTATACATTTAAAACATTCCAGTAACATTGGCTGTGACATTGTAAACAACATACTGTATGCAGCTCTAATTATTACACAGTTAACTAAATAAAATGTAAACAGAAAATAGCTGTTATATGGTAGAGTGAATATACTGTACATAAACGGTTGACTGGGCGGGGACTGAAGGGAGTGGGAGGGAAGGTGGAGAGAGAGGGAGGGAAAAGGGAGGAGGGAAGGACAGGGGACGAATGAAGGAAGAAGAGTAGGAAGGAGGAAAGGAGGGAGAGAGGGGGAGGAAGAAAGGAAGGAAGGACGGGAGAGGGAGGAAGAATGGAGTGAGGAAACGAGAAATGTAGTTAGGAGTTAAGGGTGGGGGAGGGGGGTTACTGATACATATTGGATGGATGGATGGATGGATGGATGGATGGATGGACATATAAGAAAAACAAATAATAAACGTATTAATGAAAAGAAACTCAGACAAAGACAGATAGACAATTAAACAGACAGACATAATGAGTTACCTGCAATCACGTGTACATTAACCTTCCTGGGCTGGGAGTTGGCAGGTGAGCAGGTATAGACGCCGGAGTGACGCTGCTCCACCACCGCCACCCGCAGCCTGGAGGTACTGACCACTCCCCTCTCAGTTGATACCTCCACACCCGCCCCTCGGTGACGCTCGTAACTCACAAGCTGGGGACGAGAGATGTAGTAGTTTATATACATTAACCTATAGATAATCCTAAGTTAAGGATTTTTAATTGGTTTATCGTAGGGAGATACAGATTAGTTCCCCCACTGATAATATAGCTTTGTCATAACACCTCCTTACCCGGCTCCTGCCACAGTGACCTTCATAACTCACAAGCTAGGAAGGTGTGGTAGGTTTTTATCTGTTAACTTCTAAATTATTGCAGGTTATGGATTTTCACTTGCTTAAATTAGATGGTGGCAAGATAGAGTTCTGGGGAGAATCTGTCAAGAAATTACATTTTACTCTTTCAGTTTTCAATTTGTTCACGTGAGTTATATTTGATTTTACGAAGACACGGTTGGGGTAAACTGCCGAGAGATGGCAGTGTGTGTGTGTGTGTGTGTTTACATCAGTGGTGAGGTGCAATGTGTTTTTTATTATCCATTAGAGCTGAAGAATAGACATCCCAGTTTATTTCACCTGACGATTCACTACTATGAGTTAACCCAATGCAACCCAACCTAACTTAAACCCACTAGGTGGTTAATTATCACGTAAAATAAGAGAGGTGATGTTAAGCTTCGGGTGATGTAATAATTCTCAACACCACCATCACACCCTTATTAACGTGATGCTTTTAACAGGTTGGACGATATATTAAATCACCACAACCATAGACTAGATTGAGGCAAGGTTAGGTTAGGTTAGGTTAGGTTCTCCCATAACTAAGAGTTGAGGTAAAATTCTATCATAACTATTGTGGGTAAAAGCTGAGGTAAGGTCCTGCAGTAACTACGGAAGGAAGGCAATACCAATTTACGACTGCAGGAGAAATATACGACTTCTCTTATAACCTGAGGCAATGTAGGAGGTGACCAAACTTGCTCTCTGACGCAGTTTTGACCCGTCAGCCCCTCCTCCGTCAATGTCAGCTCTCATCCTCTTCCTATCCCCCCTTTTTTTAGTGTCAACCCTCCTCCTCCTCCTCCTCTTACCCCTTCCTCCGTTAGTGTCAGCCTTCCTCCTTCCCCTACCACCTCCTCCGTTAGTGTCAGCCCTCCTCCTCCTCCTCTTACCCCTTCCTCCATTAGCGTAAACCATCCTCCTCCTCCTACCCCCTCCTCCGCCAGTGTCAGCCATCCTCCTCCCTCTGTGTCGAAATCCTGCCTGTCTTTGTAGAGAATTGCAGGACAGAATCTCAAAGGACAAAATCCTAAACACGTCTGAAAAATCCCACTACCTAAACTAAGCTCTAACATGACCCAGAAATTGTCATGGGTGAAATTTTGTCCAGGTTTCCATTATCATCAAAGTGATTTTCTTGTGTAAATTTTGTCCAATTGGATTTTGTCCTTTACTGGTACTGTATATATCTGTAGTCGCCGACGCTGTGTTAGAATCTAGTAGGGTTCTCCGACGTATCCCTGGCTGGAGGTGAAGGCCGTGGGAGGTTGTGTTCTGCGTGACCCGTTTTACCGCGCCTAAATCTGTATTGGTGGTGATTCCCGAGGCAGTAGTGTTGCCAGGCCCGCACGGTACATCTGTTGCTCTCAATGTTTAGTTGCTTACACATACTAACTTTTGATATTAGACGTTGTGCAAAGGTTTCTGCCGTTTGTGTGTGTGTGTGTGTGTGTGTGTGTGTCTGTGTGTGTGTGTGTGGGTGAAGCTACTTTTCTCAATCCAAATTCTCTTAACACAAATACAATCTCAACAGATACAACGGTACACGAGATTAATAGTAATAAAATACAGTAAACATTAAATGGAAGAAGGAGGGACAAAATGAAGGAGGGGCGGATGGAGGAGGGAAGTAGTGAAGAAGGAAATGAAGGAAGGTAAGGGAAAGAAAGGAAGGAGCGATACAGGACAAGGCGAAAGAAGAAAAGCGGTAGGGAGAGGAGAGTGGAAGGAATGGAAGGAGGGAGAAAAGGATGGGAAGAAGGAGGAAGGGAAGGAGACAGGAAAAGGAAGGTGTGAGGGGAGGGTAGAAGATAGATAGATAAATTACAGAAAGACATTAAGGTACGAGAAGAAGTGGTAGAGACTAAACGAAAGAGAGGAAGAGGGAAGCTAGAAATAAACTGGTGGTTAAACAAAAGAGCTAGAGAAAGAACGAATGAAATAAAGTAACTGAGTAAGACTAGAGAGAGAGAGAGAGAGAGAGAGAGAGAAAATCATTGTGTAAACAGAAGAGGTTTAAAACACCAACATCACTTAGGCTGGTCATGGACACTTAACCTCACCCCCCCCCCTACCCCCACTTCTCTCCTTCTCCCCCTTCACCTCCCTCTCCCTCCTCCTGCCCCTTCTCCCATGTCATACACAAGACCAACTCTTTACCAGAAGGAAGCCTCCCTCCTCCCTTCTCTCCCTTTCCCTCCCTTCAATCCCCCTCCCTCCTCTCCCCCTCTTTTCACCCTCCCTCCATCTTCCCACCTTCTCCACTCCCACATCATACATGGGAGCAGCTCTTTACTGTAAGAAAATACATCTTTAAACTCCCACCTTTTGCACTGAGAGGAAAAATTCCCTTCACCACAAGAATGGCCTCCTTAAGCACCTCCTTCCTCACCCCCCAACCCTCCAACACTCCACTCTTAAAGAACCCCCCTCCCTCTCTCTCCTGCCTCCTCCTCTCCTCTCCTTCCATCCCTCCTACCCCCTCCCTGCTTGCCCATAAGTTGCAGACAATACAGCAGTTGGCAACCGTACCCTGTGTGTTGCCAAATGCCTCGAGTATTGGACTCTGCTGACAGTAAATTACCCGCCCTCTCCTGTGCTATGGAGCGTTCTTACAACTGAATGTCTCCGCCCACTAACTGGAATTCTCAACAACTCGTGTGTTTGGGTGTTTTTTAAATTCCTTAATTACGAATATAAAAGAAAGTGTCCCAGTTACAATATAGTCTCAGTGTAATTTTCACGTCATCTTGGTCGAAATCTTTTTGTGGTAGAGTTTAAAGTGTGTCTGTTTACATCTCCAAGTTACGAGCAAAATTAGATGTAAGATAATATGAGAATTCAAGATATTAACATCATATTATATAACCCCGATTAACCGTATGTGATCGATACTTGTATTAGAAAAAGTATGAATATGAGAGAGGATATAATGAGCAGCTGGTGAAGCAGGTAAATTCACGGTAACTAATTGAGGAATATGTCGTGTTCACCTTGAGGCTGTGTGGCTGAGATTACAGGGAACTGATGTGTAAGGTGGTACCTGGGCCAATACCTGAATTAGCATTACTAGAGTGTTAGAGGGTAGTATACCTTGATAGGGTACCAGATATACTTTGATAATATCAGCTATAATTTGCTATAATATCAGATATACTTTGATAATGTCAGCTATACTTTGATAATGTCTGATAAAGTTTGCTAGAATGTCAGGTATATTTCAATAGACTTCCAGATTACATGTGTACATATTACAAAGGAAATATAGAGGCAAATCCTTAATTACATTCATACATAGACAATTAAATCGAAAAAAAAATATAATGAAAAAAAAAATGAAGCTCAATTTGTAAATAATAATCACGTACATAAGAAATGAAAAGTGTCTCGCTTCTGGTTGACATACACACACACACACTTTTTACTTTCCTTGTCAAAACCAGAATCAAAACTTACAAGCTGACGTATGATACCGCTTGACTGTCATAGCAGACACACTGTATAATATAGACCATGAATAATGCAGCCTCTGGATAATAGTTGGGTACACTTATATAAAACACACACACACACACACACACACACACACACACACACACACACACACACACACACACACAGAAACATCACAAATATTATGACAAAGGAGAGTTCATATACGATTGAGTATCAGTGTCATTGATCCATTAGATAACAGTCCGACACAACCAGAGGAGAAAGAAACTGATAAAATAAAGGGAAGTTTCTCGTTCGTTCTCTTTCTGTATATCAATTTCTGTCTGTCTGTGTTTGTTTTGGGCCTGTCTGTGTGATTGTATGTCTGTCTGTCATTGTGTGTGTCTGTCTGTCTCTTTCACTGTTTCTCTGTCTGTTTCCCCTTTCCTCTCTCTCTCACTATTTATTTATCTTTCCGTCTGTGTCTCTTACTGTTTATTTGTCTGTCTGTCTGCTTCTCTCACTCTCTCTCTCTCTCTCTCTCTCTCTCTCTCTCTCTCTCTCTCTCTCTCTCAGTCTCGCCTACATAGCGTGGTACAGTCTCCTTCTCTATCACGCTACCCACCACTACTCACAAAATATAGACCCTGCATTATATAGTTATTTGACAGATCTTCCGTGACTCGGTATAGTAATCTCTCTCTCTCTCTCTCTCTCTCTCTCTCTCTCTCTCTCTCTCTCTCTCTCTCTCTCCCTCCTGCAAGACCACTTAGTCCCGTCACTACAAGCAGCAGCAGCAACAGCAGGCATGGTATTGAAGGGTAGGAGGAACTCTGTCATGGGAAAATCGATTATTATGCAGTTTACCAGTTGGATAAACCACAGAGTTGATATATTGCTGTTGTTGATGTTTTGGTATTTTTAGATTGTGGGAAAACAAAAAGAAATATGTGGAAGAGAGGAAGAATACATATACAGAGAGAGAGAGAGAGAGAGAGAGAGAGAGAGAGAGAGAGAGAGAGATTCAAAGAGACAGAGTAACAGTGAGAGAGGGAGAGAGAAAAGGGGAGAAAGAGAAAATCAGTTTATCTCATAGTGTTATAATTTGAGGAGACTGAGGGAAACGTTAAAGGGTAATTATAAAAGAAAACATAACATCACACGACTGAGAAAGGAAAGAAACTAAAAGATAAAAGAGAGAGTCAGAGAGAGAAGATAAAAGAAAATGAAAGAGAAAATCATTGAATCATTGACATTACACTTATTGGGACTGGAAATAAAATCAGAAGCCCATCTACCATTGAGAGAGAGAGAGAGAGAGAGAGAGAGAGAGAGAGAGAGAGAGAGAGAGAGACCACTCACCTTATCGTTGTGGTACCAGAAGATGAAGGCTGGCGGCTCAGGGCTGTACTTCACACTACAGGTCAGGGCCAAACGACTCCCTGTATTGATGTATAAGTCTGGTCCTCCTGTGATCACGGTCTCTGGCTCTATGGAGATACAGGGGGAAAGAGTCACCCCCTGGATACATAAGTCACTCCCTGGATACATGAGTCACCCTCTGGATACATGAGTCACCCTCTGGATACATGAGTCACCCCCCTGGGTACATGAGTCACCCCCCTGGATACATGAGTCACCCCCCTGGGTACATGAGTCACCCTCTGGATACATAAGAGTCACTCCTTGGATATATAAGAGTCACCCCCTGGATACATGTGATTATATTTACAAGTTCAATAAGCAGGTTTCCCCCACTGGACACGTTGAAGTTTGTTTACAAATACAAATAGAAGGCTTTATCCCCCGGCCGCTAGAGGCATTGTTTATAAAGGGGATAAAACGTCTTTCCTTGCACAGTATACGTGACAATACAGTTATGTACACAGGCTTCAAGTAGGTCACGGCAGAGGAGGGAGGGAGAGAGTGAGGGAAGAATGGAAGGAGGGAAAGAGGGAAGGGAGGGAGGGAGGGAGAGAGTGGGGGAAGGATGAAGGGAGGGAAGGATGGGGGAGAGGTGAGGGTGGGAAGAAAGAAGGATGGGAAGGGAGGAAGGGGGAGAGAGGGATGGAGGAAAAGAGGCCAACGGTGAGCATAAGTAATGAAGAATTAAATTAGGGGGAGAGATTATTCATACGGGTAAATGGCGGAAGAACACTCGCTTTGCATAATTTTGTTCAACATGCTATTGTGGGGTGGTGGAGATCGCCAGACGCTCCTTGATTGCTCGTGCTGGCGTTATGTTTTTTTTAAAGTGATGAATATAGAGATGATTGTGTGATAGTATTGAGTAGATATGGCAGAAATCAATACCTGGAGATAAGCGTTAAGAGAAAGATTATGGGATGGCCAGTCGTAATTCTTGGTTTGGTGACCTACTTTAACCTAGCGGAGTGAACTGGTGGTGACGTCGAGATATAGGCGTTCTCTCTCTCACACACACACACACACACACACACATACACACACACACACACACACACACACACACACACACACACACACACACACACACACACACACACACACATTTTTTCCCTATCCTTCATTGTTTCTCTACGTTCAATCTCTCTCTCTCTCTCTCTCTCTCTCTCTCTCTCTCTCTCTCTGGCGTTGTGGATCAGAAAATAAGGAAGGAAAAAAAATACCAACAACAAGAGAAACAACAAAATGTAGAGCTTTTAGTAAATAAAAAACGTGTGTGTGTGAATAAGATAATGTGTAAAAAATGGAAATTAAAAAAAAAGTGATTGATAATTAGTTGTAGAGAGAGAGAGAGAGAGAGAGAGAGAGAGAGAGAATATTACAATGCCTAAAGAAAAAATGCCGGATTTCGATAACATAGTGAACAAGATGATTGTTGCCAGACACCATGCTGGAAAAATTGTTCCCCCCACATCGGCACGAGTGTCCGACAAAGGCTCGCCATCCACGTTGGTAATAATCCAATTTCGCCGCTATTGTAGTGACTGAGGAAGCGTGAAATAAAGAGTGACATCAATTCTCGCCTGCAATATCTGGGTGGAATTCAATTTATCTGGTGTTTTATTCTAAGATTGTGGGTGGCACTGAGGGTGGGTTGAAGGTGGGCTGAGGTGAGGGTGGGATGGGGGAGTAAAGGTCATGAAGATTGTGCAAGGTTTTGTTTTAAGGATGTTCGTAGGTGATGTTAAGGTGTATTAGATGAGGAGTAGTAGGAGGGTGAGTGGAGTGAGGAGATGTTGAAGTATTCTACACACACACACACACACACACATACACACACAAACACACACACACACACACACACACACATAGACACACACATTTTTTCTTCCTACTGCAAGCACACTCACAAATGCAGTCAGTAAAAGTCTAGGCATTTCACATACCATTTTTCAGTTACACACACGTTCTCGTCCCCTCCCCTTCCCCCTCAACCTTCCCCTCACTTCCTCTCACCCCCTGTCACCTCACCCCTCCCCCCTCATACCTAGAACACTTGCAATAAACCTCTGTATTGCTAGGGAGTGAATCTGCGTGTTGTACCTGAAAAAATATATACAATCATTATCTATTTTACCTAAGTAAGATTATCTGTGGAGGTCGTATACACAGACTCATTTATACCTGATGAAAAAGCCACTGAATCGAGTAATTATGTATCGATTGGGTTGTATATTATGCATTCCACTCCTATTATCATACTCGTAATATATACATATACACAGGTTAAATGTATATAAATACTTACATAACAAATATATATATACAGTGAATAATGAATTAGTAAAACATAATATTTAAATACAATAATTAAGAAATATAATAACCGTAATGATGATCCAATAATTCGTGTAATAAAATATTTACTTAAGGAAATTAAATCTGAAAAACATTAAATTTTAATTCCAGTGGTTAGAAGAGTATTGAATCATTATAAACAAATTACATAGAGGGTACATAACACCCCTATGAAAATACAGACAGTGGATGAAAGGTAATAATGTAACCTCATTACAGGATAAAGAAATTCTATGATGATACAAAAGTGTGTTACGTATTACTGTCATTATTTTCTACTTAATATGGTATTAAACTTATGAAATTACTCAAAGGAATCCTACTACTACTACTACTTCTTGGCTACGACTATTACTACTACTACTACCACTCCAACCACACTACTACCACCACTAATAATAATAATAATAGTAATAATAATCCACGCACCACAACATGCCACGCCTCACCCACATCTCACCAGTAACTAAGACGAGAATCACGGAACACTCGAGATGCCAGGTGAAGGTCTGCCAGATTGATATGCAAATGCAATAAGGAGAGAGATACAGACAGAGGCAGATACATAGAGAGAGAGAGAGAGAGAGAGAGAGAGAGAGAGAGATTAATAACAGACAGACACACAATGAATAGCTAAACGTTGAGAGGTTTGGGAAATATATGTCTGTTGGGGGATCCTTGAGTGCAATAACCTTGTAGTGGGTGTCCGTGGGGATCTGATACCCACCTACAACAGACAGGTGGACGTAGTGGCTTTGTGGTGGTGTGGTCGAGATCTGACATTCGTACAGCCCGGCGTCTCGTTCCTGTAGGTAGTGAACCATCAGTAGCCAATCCTCAGAGCCTTCTGCATGGCGGGCTGAGAACCTTTCGTCGGAGGTGTAGGTAAAGGCTCCCACCGTCAGGAGATGGATGTCCCTGTGACGCACCCACGACACCTGAAGCAGCATAGAAAACAGGTGAATTAGCGAAACATCCAGGTGATCTATGTGTTGGAGCAAGAGACGAACAGGTGACTCATTTAAGTTCACAGGATGATAGGAGTCACGACACCTGAGGCAGCAGAGAGATTACCAGCGTCTAGGAGGAGGTGATGAGACGAGAGATCCACAGAGACCGAATGACTCAGTTACAAGTCTCTAGTGATCAAGCCGAGACATCCAAGGAGGAGGGAGGGGGAGCGGGAGGGGGGGGGGGAGTATCGCATGGGATATTAAGGTGAAGGTTCCTGACTGCGATCTCACGTAAAAAATATATTAGAAGATATGAGAGAAAGCTGAGGTGACATAAAATGGTTTAGTTGAGTGGTTGATTGAAGGATATGAACGGGTTTTGCAAGAGAATGAGGGAAGGAATGAGGGAGGAAAAGAGAGGGAAGGAGGGGAAAAGGGAGAGAGAGGGAGGAAAGGCGAGGGAGGGGAAGAAAGAGAGGGGGAGGGGGAGGAGGAAGGAAAAGCAAGGGATGGAGGGAAAGAATGAAAGAGGGTACAAGAGATAGTGAAGAGAAGAGAGAGAGAGAGAACAAGAAAAATATCAAGTCACATACTATACCGCCTCAGGACATTAACAAAAGAACACAATTGATAACAAAACAGAACACATACTAATACAAGAACATAATCAAGAACAATATATACGTCAACTACCCGAATAAAAGTCAAGATATATGAAAGAAACACACAACAAAATAATCATACCTGAACACCTGCACCCACGACACAGTTTACAATCGACGAAAAAAGAAAGAAAATAACGAAGCAAATTGAACAAGGAAACGAAAAAGGGTAATACTAGTTAACTCCTCATGTTGACTCGGGAAATGACGAATAAAAATAAGATAATAACCTAAAGAATCTGATCCCGGACGAAAAGAAAGGAAAAAGAGAGAGAAATACGACGGGGTAATAGAATGAGAAGGAGTCATAGAGCGGAATAAAGGAGGGGATTAAGCCAACGGGAAGAGGACAAGTCGGAATAAAAGGTAAAAAATATGTTATGTTATGAGTCGCTGGGAAAGAGCCCGGGTCGGCGGCTCCTGCTATGACGGCAGTTTTACGACTTCAGTCCCAAAGGTTTATTAGTCATAACTGAAAGTGAGAGAGAAAGCGAAAAATAAAGCGAAAGAGAGAGAGAGAGAGAGAGAGAGAGAGAGAGAGAGAGAGAGAGAGAGAGAGACAATATAAAGTACATAACATCACACACACACACACACACACACACACACGAGAATGTAAGAATGATGAACACACATTACCACACTAGACTACTCACACTCAAAACCCCCAACAGTGAACATGACGAGTATATAAACATCAACATACACTGTACATATAAACACGCACAAAAGGGAGGAAAGAGACAGGCAACAGATCCGCAAGAGGCAAGGTCAGGAGAAATAACAAATGGTTGGTAAAGTCTCAGAGAAGAATAGACGCCATTATTGCAAGGATTAGGAAACTGACGCAGCATTGGGTTGGATATATTACGAGAGTGACGAGTCAACAGAGGATTAGGGAGATTGTCGATGTGATTCTAATAGGCAGGAAAATACCCAGAAAAGTATCGATCACTTCAGAGAATTGTGATATGAGAAAGTTTGGAGGAGCGTAATAGTTAGTGATGGTTGATGATGAGGTGGTGATAGTCTAGAGGGGGGAGGGGGACAGTAGTCTTGTTTGGGGGTATGGGGGAGAGGGGTGACTGGTGGTGGGTGTGGGTGTATAATTGATCTTTTATTTACACGAACTGTATCTTAATATATATTTCTATATCATGTTATAGAGAGAGCACTTTCAATGCAAATTTTCCTGAGTTCATTTCCTGTTAGTTTTCTTCCAAATGAAACAATTCGTGCAAGAGGAATTATTAGATTCAGTCTTTCTCATTTCCTTGACCGATACCAAATTTTCCACAGTTATTTCAGTAGAATATTTATTTCCAATATTTATGTTGACTTTACCCATAATGATATATATATACAGTATAGTAAACATTGAACAGACCTGGCCCTCCTCCCCCTCATAAGGGTTCAATGTGTACGACTACACCGCCCCCCAGGAAACAGTCAGCAACTATTGGTTAGGCCATAAAGCAGCTCCATTTTGGTGATTTTATCCCACGTAAAAGTTTCTATTCAAGTTATCAAAAGCCGCCTTCCAGAAACTTATCGAGCAAGTCACCTCTCTCCATAGTTTACTGCTGCAGGATGTGGTACTTGGAGTTTATGTTATATCTGAGGATACTAAGATATCGTGAGCAAGACAAAGACACTACTTTAACTGATTATTGTAGCGAAAAGTCTTAGATACATTTTAAAGGTCAAAGGTTAACTAAAAGGTAAATTAATTCAAAGTAAATCTTCAGTAGCTGGAGGGAGTGGTCCCGCTCAGCTAACAATTAGGGCAATTTCTATTCAAACATTTATCCACTAGAGTCGTACAATAGATAATACAACTGAGTCTTTAATAGACTCATAATTGTTAAAAGAATAAACATGAAAGGCGAAGTTGGAACACGCCTAAACACTAATCAATAAGGTACATCTCTCTAATGCTTTCCTGGGAGGTGATGTTGTATACCTATCATGGGTCTAACATAAACATGTGATCCAACACACGTATGCAGATTAAACTACGCTTTATTCTTAAGTATTCCGGTGACTCCCCCCAAATCCGTGAAAAATATCAATGTGTACCCAGAGGAAAGACTGTTACTGGGAATTGCTGTTTGTATTGGTGGATTTACTCTGTGGAAACATGTGGAATATTAGTCCATAATGGTTTTCTTTTCTTGCTATAGTATAATTTTAGTCTAATTGATTTCTGAAGAACACTCGTTATCTATCTATCTATCTATCTATCTATCTATCTATCTATCTATCTATCTATCTATCTATCTATCTATCTATCTATCTATCTATCTATCTATCTATCTATCTATCTTGCGTGAGAGAGCGTGAGAGCGAGAGAGGGGAGCGAGATGGAGAGAGCGAGAAAAAAAAAGAAAGAGCAGGGTATAGTGAGTGAGTGAGAGACAGAGAGAGGGAGAGACAGAGCAAGGTAGAGAGAGAGAGAGAGAGAGAGAGAGAGAGAGAGAGAGAGAGAGCAGTAATGGAGCAGTTTGGACACCTTCACTACAGGCTGCCTCAAGCTCCTTACACCACTCAACCGTTCTCTCAAGGATCCAGAAATGGCACTCTTGGCACTGTCGCAGCTGGTGGTGGTGGTGGTGGTGGTGGTGGTGATAATGTTGGTGATGACGATGGTAGTGGTTGCAGGAGGTGGTGATATTGATAGTTAATGTACAGTAATATGGCCGGGACTCACACGGGCTAGAAGACTTACCTTATCTTACTTTCACGTAAAGAAAACACACACACAAAAAACAAAAATATATTAAAAGCGAGAAAAATGAATAAGACAAAAAAAAAATCAAATAACAACCGTATCACAACATCAAAGGCGATAACAACTTTTACATGACTCTCCCTCCCACCAAGATGAATCAATGTTGTTGTCTTGCTGTTGTGTTGACTCATACTGACTCTATCCACCACATTCAGCTCTTGTATTGATTCATACTGACTATCTCCCACGTCCAGCTCTTGTCTTGACTCCTACTGACTCTATCTCCCACGTCTAACTCTTTCCTTGACTCATACTGACTCTATCCACCACATTCAGCTCTTTTCCTGACTCATACTGACTCTATCCACCACATCCAGCTCTTTTCTTGACTCATACTGACTCTATCCACCACATCCAGCTCTTTTCTTAACTTATACTGACTCTATCCACCACATCCAGCTCTTTTCTTAACGCATAATGACTCTATCCACCACATCCAGCTGTTGTCTAGACTCATAATGACTATCCACCACGCCCAGAGCCTTGTGTGTCTCCGACTGTGATATAAGAGACTTGAATCATCCTTCATTATTATTCATTGGTGCCATTACACCCCCTCCCCCCACACACACACAATACACTATGATGCAGATTCATTTTTCATCATACATCACTGTTAATGGGTAGTGGTTATTGCCATTCACTGTTCTTCACAATGCCGAGGCGGAAGGTACAAGGGCGTAGCTTAGACACTGTTAATTCTCCATCCAACAATGCACTATTTCGTTCCCTTGATCTACGAGGCTAATATAATTATCACCGGTCTTCCACACGGAGTTCCAGAGACTAAGTGTAAAGTGATTAACTGGTGACTTAACAGGACACAGTCTACGAGTTACAATCAGGGTCATTCATTATTCACAGTCATTCATCATTGCTTGCTTTCATAGGATGCAGGGTTTGTATATATCAATTTATTCATTATGTCACTTTAAGTTTGAATTAACACGTATGTTAACACTATTTATTGTTTACAATATGTATTTCTGTTTACACTCGACCTACAGAGATAAACAATGTATTTTCACCCACATATTAAAGAGATGGTATTAACTATAGATGCTGAGTCGTGTATCGTAGGTTGTGGTAATAGTGTTTTATTGTATGGCAGATTGTGGTAATAGTGTGTTAGTGTATGGCAGATTGTGGTAATAGTGTGTTAGTGTATGGTAGATTGTGGTAATAGTGTGTTAGTGTATGGCAGATTGTGGTAATAGTGTGTTAGTGTATGGTAGATTGTGGTAATAGTGTGTTAGTGTATGGCAGATTGTGGTAATAGTGTGTTAGTGTATGGTAGATTGTGGTAATAGTGTGTTAGTGTATGGTAGATTGTGGTAATAGTGTGTTAGTGTATGGTAGATTGTGGTAATAGTGTGTTAGTGTATGGTAGATTGTGGTAATAGTGTGTTAGTGTATGGTAGATTGTGGTAATAGTGTGTTAGTGTATGGCAGATTGTGGTAACAGTGTGTTAGTGTATGGTAGATTGTGGTAATAGTGTGTTAGTGTGGTAGATTGTGGTAATAGTGTGTTA